AATATATATACAAAACCAATATAAAATCCTCCCCGCAATGACGAATACGTCACCAGAGGCTCTGCGGAGCCGGGTACTGGAAAAGTCCCAGACCAAACTCAGCAGCAGGTGGGAGCAGGATGCAGAATACACAAATCAGGATCAGCAGCAGATGAACCAGCAAGGTTCCGCTCAGGCCTTGGCCTCTGCAGGATCGCGATGGACAGAAGGGTCCAAGATGGAAGGGCTCCAAGATGGAAGAATGGTGAAAAGGGAAAAGGCATGAGACCCTTGTGATCTCTCGGTTTTTATACCGAGTATGACGTATGTGGGATGGAATACCTCGCTGGTCAGTTTTTGGGTCTGCTTCCCCCCTCCCGTAGGTGCAGACACAGCACCCATGATGAGACAGCTGACCTTGAGCATATCTTCTAGCAGCACTGTCTGGGAAAAACATGCTGCTAGTTTTCAGCAAGTTCAGTCACTTAAAAGAGACTGAGCTGAAAAGTAAAATCACTAAATAGAAAATTAGTTCTGTTTAGCTCAAACCAGGACAGTGTGGCTTCTGCTTTTCTTCTTTAGGGAGGAAATTACAATGTGGCTTTTTCTTTTCTATTTAGTAGTAGGTTCCTTGACCGCTAGACTCTTGAGGAAAAATGGAAGAGAGCTGAGAATCTAGAGCTGCTGGGGAAAAAAGCAGTGATGTGTCATTGCTGTGTTGATATGATACCTACCAACAGTGAAGTCAGTTGTGTTGGAGGAGAGTGACCCAGAATGCAGCATATACTATGTGTAGATGGTTATCAAAGGAGGCAAAATGGAGCTTATAAGAATGTGATGCAGCTCTGCCAAATCAATAACTGCAGTAATGGAAAACAGAGATGACTTTTCCACTCAGTGTATTTCAATTGCATTTTTCACTTTCTCTCTAGGAAGACTTCTGGCTAAGGGACTTGTATCAGATTTTTTCTTTGAATTCAGCTGTCGGGAAAACAAAGCCAGCTCTAACTGGTTAAGAAGTCAATAAATCAATTTTTAAATAGTTTTAATTAATATTAATTAATATTAATAAGATACAGGAGTAATGTTTCATGTAAAGCACTGAGCAGCTGAGGAGAGGAACATGTTCATTTCATTGCTTGTAAAAAATGAACTTGTGCAAGTAGCCCTGCCTCAGTTCATGGGGGAGGATAGGATGGAGGAAAACAGAAACACACCAGACCAGGTGGTGAAGATGGCAATCTTGTATTCTAATCTACATAGTTTTGGCACAGTATATACTTCAAGTCATGTTACTTTCTTGGTATGTCCACCATGTGGGCAAGGAAGTCAGTGCAAGACAGCTACTTCAGCTTTTGTGATGTTTTGGATACCAACAGACTAGTTCTGGCTCAGTGTGGGCATGTTTTATTTGTTTGTTTTTCTTAACTGTGTGTGGGTTTTTTCATTCTGCTGTTCATACATAATGCTCTTTACCAATGTCAAAAGTTGACATTAGTGGACTACTTGAGAAACTAAGGAATTATTTCCTGAAGTAGCTCCTCCTTGGGATTTGTCAACATGCACAACAGCATGTGTGGTAGCTAATTGTTGACTGTTAAAGAGCAATGACTCAAAGTTTACTACTGGCAGATTCTACCCTGCTCTGTTTCTGATGTGGAAAAGAAGGAAGAGTATTCAATGTGAGCATTGCTTCAAATAGAGTTTGAGTTCTGAAACAGATATACTAATCTGGATTGAACGTGATCATTTGGCAGGAAATGAAAGATTCTAGAGATACTCGCTGATACTTGTAGCAGTGTTGTGCAGTAGTAGCGCTGCTGTGACTCCAACTGTGAAAATCCTGTAGGTGCTGTGTGGGAGCACTTCTGGGGTAGCAGACTTTTTGAATTTATTTTTTTTCCCACTTAACTGGAAGGGGAACAGAATCTGGGTTGTTCTTATTTGGTTGGTGGTTTTTTTGTGTGTTGGGTTTTTTTTTTGTTTTGTTTTTGTTTTAAACTACTAGGCTGTGACATAGCCATTTTTCTGGTGAACATATTGCTGAGAAGCAACATATCATCTTTAAATTCAGGGCAAGATTTGTTGTTCATATAGATGAAGTACTTGGAGTGAGTTCTTGGAGGTAGCTTTTCACTACTGCATGAAGACATATGCCAAATTCAGGTACTTGCAAGATGGGGAAATACTAAAATACTTTGTGAATCTTGACCTGAATTTCCCTTTGTGCTGATTTAAAAATATTTTGGTTTGAGTTTAGGGATGGAAGAGACTTTTAAATAACTTTAAAGCTTTTCTGTTGAGGTTGTAGAGTATGGTGCTTTTCCAAAATGAATGGATTGACTACAAATAATGTCATCTTTCACTGTCATTTACATACTGACTGCTGAACTGGTTAAAGTGACTGTGTTTTTTAAATTTGGATTAGAAAGTGAACAGATAACATGCTATATGTGGTTTTTTTTAAAAAAAAAAAACATAAACAACCAAACCTGCACATAAACCCACAACACTGGGGAAAGTCTTGGGTGCAGCATAACTGGTCCCTTGCAGTGACCTGTTGAGATATCCCTTATCTTTGTAGCCCGCACAAACCTACTGGGTGCGACTTAACTGAAATCTCAAACTCTTGTTTTGTGTGTGGTTTATTTTTCTTCAGAACTTTTTAAAAAGTCCTGGGATACTCTCATAAGAATAAATTGCCTTAGACAAATATTTTTATTTCTATACCTACAGTTGGATTAACTGTTTTATTCAGCTTAGTAGATCACCTGTCCTTGCATTCTCTTGAGGCAACTCATTCACCAGGCTTCATCACAGGAGTCTTATCAGCCCAGTATTTTCTGTTGTCCTTACATCTTGTGCTTGTCTTTACTTGCTTGCTCTTTGAATGAGAGATTCTAGATAAGTGTTCAGTGCAATCCCTATTTCATAAGTGAAGTAATGTATTGCACAGATCTGCTGTCTCTTAACTTTTTAGCTTTCCTTGCACTTGAAGCTCTCCAACTCTAAGCTGCCCAACTTGCCAGTGACCTACAAGACAAATAATACATTCTAGCCGATTTTGCACTTCCTGTGAACACAGCATGGCATGCTGGCCTAAATGCGAGAGCAGCAGGAAGGTGACAGAGCTGTTCCTGGCAGACTGTAAGTCTGTAGTGTATTAGTGTGTAGCGCTGAGATGGTAGGTGTCAACACACAGGAGTGCAGTCTAGTAGTGCTGTTGTGTTTCTGGCTGCCTTCCAAGGCATGGTGGAAAGCACTGTCAGCATTCTGCTGTCAGGGGCAGAAACATCACTCTTGCAAAGCTTAGAACTGGCATCTATCACACAAACACATCTGTATTTCACTGAAGTATTTAAGGAACAGAAGGACCTAGTTTGTTCAATTTAACAAGGTTTTCTTGAGCCAGATATTTTTTCTGCTTGTCCTCTTTTATGACAGACTGACAATAAAAAAACCTAGTTCTTTCAAATACTTATTTTTGTTAACTGGCTTTTGTTTGTGCTGGTATACTAGAATTATATTTGCCACTTCTTGATTGCTTTAAAGGATATATTTTGCTGTGCTATTAGTTCATTTTCATACTTCTGCTTTTCAGTAATTGGTCTGTAACACAGACAGTTTATTCACTATTTTAGTTTCTTAATTCATTTGCATTGCTCATCCAGAATTTAAAGTATTATCTTTTAATTTTAAGCCAGCAGCAAGGCTAACACAAAGGTCTAAATGCACTTTCCGTTAAACAAAAATTGCAGAACTGTGCAGGCACAAGATACTGAATTTGTTTACTCAGTGGGAGACATATACTGCAGCTTCAAAATATACCTAATAGGTTTGTCCTAAGGCAAAAAAAATCCTTCTTGAAACTACTGTGACATACCTGTGATTTGTTAGGTTAATTTAGACTTGTAATATCTACAGTTACATGTTTGGATGTCAGACTAATGGACAAAAGAATTCACTGTGATCCGTTGGACATCCTGGCTGAACAATGGTGATTTTTACAGTTTAAGGGAAGAAATATGCAATTATAGTGGAAGAAGAGATTCTGTTAGCCTGAAAGTTACTGTGAGTGCTGAAAAATTGGCAGGACAGGATTTTCTTCAGGATCAATTTGAGTCAACTTGCTAGCATAGCAGCCTTCTATGAACTAGTTGAAGTTCTAAGAACTGTTTTTTACAACAAAGTTAATATTGACTGTTCTGACATAACTCTAGAATAATGTACCATCCTTGCACATGGCATGGAGCATTATATTACTGCTAACTTAGGAACTAGGAGTCTTAGTCCCTGTAAAAATGGAGTTCTGTTCAGTTACTGCAAAAGTTAATGTACTTTGGGAACACTGCTTGAAATAGAGTGAGCTTCTTCCAGTGCAGAATTTAGTGAAAATCACTTGACACTTCAGGGTACACTACTGAGCTGAAGCTGTGAAACAATGGAATAAAAATTGTGTGTATTTTTTAAATAAAGCACGTTTAAACCTGAGTTGCAGTGAAGTTGTAATCTTGCAGTGTGCAGTTTCTTAAGTATCCTGTATATGCTTTGTGATTTTAACATATTTTGGCAGGTGTTTGCACTTGTTTGTAATCTGCATGGCTTTAGGAATATAAGTGCAGCACAATTATCATGAGGCCCTATTTAAACATTTTGTGTTCAATAGTTAAAACAGAAATTCTTACTCTTGTAGCAAGTACAATAACTGCTATTTTAAGTCAAAGTACAAAAGTTTTTCTGTTACACTTGAACGTGGTTCCTACAAATACATCAACTTTCCACACTACTGCTTCATTTCAGGGCTGCTGCCTGGTCAGGGTTAAGAGTCATTCCAAAATAATTGAAACATACTTCCAGTTACTTGCTATTGGTAGCCTAAGGATTAAATTACAGCAAAATGCATCATAGCTGTACTTAGCCTCTCAAACTGATGAGTGTTGCTATATCTTTTTAATTTATGCAGTCGTTAGTATCTTGTCCTCCTTGAGTTGAGTTTTGTGCAGCTTATCCTTAGGCAAGTGATATGCTGCTAGTTCCTGTGCATTTAAAAGAAGGGAGAGATTGGGGGAAACTACCAGATGTTGAGATAGATGACTTGGCAACAGCAGAACTGTTACCACGTTGTCTGTCTTTTTTTTCTTGGTCACTGAGCACAGTATTGGCGAGTCCTTGATGTTGCTGGAATCCCTGCAAGAGAGATACTGCCTAAACCCACGACAACTGCATGTTCAAGTCATCCAAAGCTTATTTGACATGTTAGAGGAATTAACAGTCATCTGACATTATTTCTGACAAGGTAGCAGTCATATAGTAGATGAGTCTGTATCAGTTTACCTCTGCATGAGGCACTTGATGGCACTTGATCAGATTGTTGGAGATTGGGAAGCAGAGCAAATGACTACCTGAATGCAGCTTCCTTCTTTATTTTGAAAATATTTAGTTCTCCAAAACCATGGATGTACTCAAGGAGAACACATGCATGAGTAATGAGTAGAAAGTTAATCCATTTGAATTATAAACTTGAATATTTGTCCTGGAATATGTGCTTTAATACAGGAAATTTAGTATATGTCTTACTTTCATAAAGCACTTTGAGTCAAGGGCTTAAAAAGCCCTTGGGCTTTTGCAAAGCCTGTCAACAACAGGACATTGAGTTTTGAGCAAGATTCATAAATAGCTAATGAAACTTACTCTTCCTGCTCCTGTCAAAACATAACTTGTTTTCCGAGTTTGATTTTTTTTCTCTCTACTTTCTCTTCCAAAAATAGCTGCAATATGTTTGAAGAACTAAAATATTTTTCCTCTCTAGGTGTGGACTTCAAAGTGAAAACTATTTCAGTTGATGGAAACAAAGCTAAACTGGCAATATGGGTAAGTGTCTTTTAAGTCCGTAATGTATTGCTTTGCTTTAGGAATAGTGATGGCTTGTACAGTGTACAGTTTGTATAAAATCCATCTCTATTAAATATGAAGGCCATGTGGAGTAGTGGGATGTTAATACTGAACCATTCGGAAGGTAATGAACTGTGGGACAGCTGGCTAATAGGACACTTCTGTTGCTTATGAGCTTTCTCTGCAGCACTGATTCCAGGTCTGCTTGGGATCAGAGTAGAGACAAAGAGGAATAAAATGGTACTAATCAGTCGGACTTTAAAACAGTGAATGTGCCATTCCTAGATTTATTTTTTTTAGTGAGTAATTAGTTCTTTAACTTCTAAAGAGTTAGCCTGCACTAATCTGAGACTTCCCTGTATATATTATTCTTTTCTGTATTTAACAGGTTTTAAAGGGGTGTGCTCCTTAACCTAAATGTTATAAGCAAAATTTAGTAGTGTATTAATAGGTTGAAAATTACTGTTGCCTGCTCAACTTATGCTCAAATAATATCTCCCAGAACAAATTTTAGCCCTCGTACAAAGACATAGGCTGGAGGTTAGTGTTATTTGTAGCAGATGCAGCTGAAAGAGAGAGAAGCAGTGTCTTAGTGTTCAATGTCTACTCTACTTAAAAGTAGAACTTCTAAATTCATGGCAAGTGAAGAAAGAAAAAGTGCTTCTAAGCTTTTTTTAAACATTCTCTGCTCTGCAAACTAACCTCCACACTTGTGTGACTCAAAGTGACTTTTGAATATTGGGACCCGGTTCTGACTTCTTGTAGCAAGCAAAAATAAAACCTTGTTTCTCACGTAAGCAAGATACTTCCTCTTTACTTCTTGGGAAGTAGTAGTAGAACATGAAATACGTATTGCACTACTTCTGTTGCTTTAGTGTTTCATACCTAAGCTAACAAACAGGCCTTATGTCTTGTGACAATAGCAATCATCACTAAAATAAGTGAGTTTGACAAGAAAAATAACTGCAGCAACTTGACAGACAAATAAATATATAGGAGGAGAAGCAGACTTGATGGCAGAATGATGAGTGGTCATGGGATGGAAAATATTGCATAGGACTAACTTAGGGTTTATCTTTTCATATTGGTGAATATGCAGAAATAATTCTGAAGTAAATTGGAAAAGAAAAGCTTGTGAAGGTGTATCATGATGCAAAACCAGTTTGGGATGTGTGAGATTGACTGGGTGACTTGTAGAATGTTGTAAGGCCAGTTCAGTTATTCAGGTTCTTTGGGTGGGAACAGTTTGAATGCACAGTGTTTCATGAGTCACTTCTAACCTGGAGTAACTTGGATGAAGTTACTTAAATCTTCTATGCGTAAAGTCTGCAATGTGTGTGCACATCTCTGATAAGAAAACAGCATTTTAATTGGGTTTTTTGCAGAGCTGTTGACACTTGAAATTTGAGGATGTAAATTCAACTTTACTCAAAACCAGAAAAACATCTGAATTATTTCTGCTTCTGCTCTGTCATAGCATGTTAGATGCATTGATTCTAGCACTGAATCAAATCCTACTGGACCCAGGTGATAGAAGTGAGGGAACTAGTTTTGTTGCCATGGATTTTGATGCTTGTTACAAAATCTTAGTACTGCAGCTATGCTGCTTCTTACTGGTTGCTGCTGTACTAGCTGCAGAACAAATGCTTCTGCAGAATTCGCTATCTTATTGCTATATAGTCCAGTTATTTACTACACCTAACAGCTTAAAGGTGTTTCCCAGGACAGACTACATACTCTCAGAAGTTAATGTGCTACAGTAAAATACCAGGGGAGGGTATAAACTCAGTCTGGTAGTTGAATATACTTTGAATCTTAGACTGTATGTTCATTAGAAGCAGGATACCTGAGAGCTAAATTACACTCTGCTCAAATTCTGAATAATGGAACTTTCTGAATGGCTTTTTAGGATACCGCAGGTCAGGAGCGGTTCAGAACACTAACCCCCAGTTACTACAGAGGTGCACAAGGTGTTATCCTAGGTAAGTATAGCTCTCCATGCTATTTTAAGGAAGTCTGTGGTTTCTTCCTGCATTGGAATTATGCACGCTCATAGAATCTTTCTATAATATCTAATTGATATTGAAAATAATTGTATCTGTGTTGAGCAACTTGTATATTAAAGGATCTTGAATTTGATGCCTCACCTTTTTCTCATGTGGTCAGTCTCACCGGCCTAAGAACCACTGATTTTTTTTGCATGAGATAAGAAGCTACTGCTATTTGAAGGAATAACTTGGAGCTGCTCCTGTACTGCCAGGAATTTGGCTTTTAGTTATTACTTTTGGTTTTCGCCTGTGTTAACTAAGCCCAAGTAAAAAAAAAATTTTTTTTACTCTGCTCAGTGTCTGCATCTGAATGTATACAGCTTTCTCTTTTTCTTCTCCCTGTTGCTTTCTCCTCCTGAAATTAGTGTAAACACTATGGAGTCTGTCTGGGATTTTTTACTATTTGTGTCTGCATACTGGTGGGCTGTTACACAGTTGGAATCACTTAAAAAAGGCTAGCTTGGAGCATAAAAAGCATCAATCTGCGGGTGAAAGCCAGGCCGAAACCCATAATTGTAACTTCAGTGATGCCTCTTTTGCTTTTCTTTTATGTATAGCACTGAGCTCTGAAGTTCTGCTTCTCCACTGCTAGAAGTGAGGAGCTCACTAAAGTAAGGGCAGGAAAGTAAGTTTATTTTTTTTGTTTTGAAGTTGCTTCTGACTTGAGAGATTCTTGGTAAGTTAATGTGTCCAGTTCAGTTGTTTAACTTGGAGTAACCTCTGTCATCAGACTTCCTGGTTTTGTGGGGTTTTTTGGTTGGTTGGTTAGGGTTTTTTTTGAAGTCTGTTTCCCAAGTCTTGAGTTGCATTATCTTCCTGGTATAAAGATGCTGTCAAGGCATGTCTTGTCAAGTCACTTAGTTGCTGGCACTGAACCTGCTGCTTACTGCTGAAAGCTTTAAGAGTAAGCAAACACTCTTTGGGAGCTAGAAAGTTCTGCTGTTGAGATTTGATATCTTAATTTTATTTAATAATCTTCTCCTGACTACTTTTTTGTTGAAATTACTTCCTGAAAATAAGGTTGTTCATACAATTCAAGCTATAGATTTGATTGAAACCAACTGTTTATGCTTGTCTGTATGTGGGATGTGAGAATGAAGGAAAAAACACTCTCATAGCTTGAAATGGTAGCTATTAGTTGTTGGATAGTAGATTTCAGGTTTAACAAGATCTGTTTTTTGTCTGCCCTTTCTGTTCCTAGCATGGCTTATTGTATCCCACACAAATGCTAAATAGTTTGAAACACTAAAATACTGAAAATTCAGTAGTTCACTGGTACTTGTGAGGACTTTGTGACCAGTTTACTTTTTTAGCGAAATCAGTAGCATAGCAGTGGTGTTATACAAGTCTTAATTATCACTAATTCACTCAGTGCAGAAGGTCATATCTTTTGTACAGTGATGTTAAGTATCCTACATTATTCTACATCAGGGATCTGCAACAGTAGAATTCTTTGGAGAATGATAGTCTTTAGTTTGTAAACTAGGATGTCTCAACATAAATTAGTCTGAGAGCAGTAAATGCCTCTGCATTAATATCATCAGTGATTTTTAGCTGGTGGATATTCAACTTTTTTCCAGTTGTTGTCTTGCTGTAGTAAATTTGAACCCATGGGACTCCTTGAGTTTTCTAATTCAAAAAACCGTAATTTTTGCTTCTTTTGTAATATAAGCTGTATAATAATATTGCTAATATCTTTCAGTTTATGATGTCACAAGAAGAGATACTTTTATCAAGCTGGATAACTGGTTAAATGAACTGGAAACGTACTGCACAAGGAATGACATAGTGAAAATGCTAGTTGGAAACAAGATTGATAAGGTAAACTGAATTCAACTGCAGTAAGTAATCTGTTGGTGTATTTTGTTAATAATGCATATTAATGCTATCTCTTATTATAGGAAAACCGTGAAGTTGACAGAAATGAAGGTCTTAAATTTGCAAGAAAACATTCCATGTTGTTCATAGGTATGTTACAGATATCTGCAGAGATCTTACTGATTTTTCTTACATAGTGGAAAAAGTACTGCTTCTGTAGAACTGATAGTCTTTATACTTACAATCCAATTAATAATATTTCTCAGCCTCCATAGGTACGAAGATAATAGGTGTTCCCATTTTTTTAAACTGTCTCTAAATATGTCCAGATAACTGTGGATGACTGTACTGAAATGCATAAAGATTAAGGGTGGAATACAGGCTCTACTGTAGTCTGACAAAACCTGGTTTAGGTTTGGGGGTTTGTCTGATTTATTTTCCAAGTCTACTTGCTAAGTTAATAACAGAAGCGAAATGAAAGTGGGAAGACTGGTACTACTGGCCAACTTTCAGTATAGCAAAAGAACTGGTATTTCACAAAAGTCTGTATTAGAACTAGGATGTAAAAATAGGTAGGATTAGAATTAATTTATAAATGGCGGATGGGATTGAATAATGATATAATCATGACTGGAGCAAATATGTTGGTCTCATCTTGCCGCAAAATGAGATGGGTCTTGTAGGCAAAGCCTTGTAATGATAAATTAAAGTGGGTGGTGAAGTGGTTTTTTTTTTATGAATAAGTTTATTACAAGTTTCATTTAAGGATCAGCAGGGATTACTTTGTAGGATGGCTTCAGTAGCAGAGCAGTTCATTGACATGTCCTGTTCTTAGACTTACGTTCCTCATTTCTGACTGATGACATATCTTTGCCTAGTACTTCACTGTGTTTCTTTTTGGCTGCAGTGTCAGATGTGGAGATAGAAGTTCAGAGTTAAGACACAAGCTCTTAAGTGCATGGAAGGCTGAAAAACCCATGAAAATTAAACTATAACTAAATATATATATCTGCATGCTACGTATGCTAACTATCTGCGTGGCTTTGTGGAACAACAGGGTGAGCTCTAGTGTGACTGAACAGTTTCAGATAGTATCTGTTGTTCTCATAATATACCCTGTGAGCAAATTTCATGGGATTAGCAGAGGTAAGGCTCCTGAGTGAAATTACCTAGAGTTCTGCTAACTGCAGAAGAAATGAGGTCCTTTACTGCTTTTTATCAGGTGAGTTGTATCATGGAGGCTGAACCAGAATCCATCAGTATGGATCCTTGCTTCTTATGGTACACTGCTACTGCAGTTCTAACTAATGTACAGAACTGAAATACAGAACAGCAACCAGGTTTATCTTTAGTAGAACCCTCCTTCTTACTCAAGTGCCTTCCACAGAAGAATAAAGTTAAGCTATAGCTGTCTCCATATATTCCAGTGACATTCAGCTTGGAAGCTCTATTAAGAGTCTTCTAAAGTACTGTCTTATGTGGTGACAGAAAGCTGCAATATCTGCTACTTTTGGTACTGCTACCTTATTTTATAGGATGTATTGCAGAAGTTGTAGGTCTAGGTTGTAGGCTGAGACTTAACTGAAAGAGAAATACTAAACAAGTTACTGGAAGCTATGTTAACACTTGACTTCTTGCATCCCCTCTCCAGAGGCAAGTGCAAAAACATGTGATGGTGTACAGTGTGCCTTTGAAGAACTTGTGGAAAAAATCATTCAGACTCCTGGACTGTGGGAGAGTGAGAGCCAGAACAGAGGTGTAAAGTTATCTAACAAGGAAGAAGGATATGGAGGAGGAGCAGCATGTGGTGGATATTGTTCTATGTTATAAACCTTGGGAAGCTTATTCTTTGCATATTTAAACAGATAGTGACATCTTTCTGTACATAAATTCATTAAATGCTATTTTTAGGGACCTTGCAGTTTGCACATATTTGTTTTGTATCATGGCAGTGAACACTTGTAGGAAAAATGTTCTGCAGCTTTTCCAGTTTGAAAATGTTATGGTAAGCATGCCTAATTTGCAATCTTCAGGTTTTTATAAGTAGCATAAATAATGTGCAAGAACAAATGCACTAAAAATTTTATGACTGTATACATTCATCAAGTAACTATTCTAAACAAACCCATGTAACAGAAACACATTACTGCATTGTCTGCTCTTTGTCTTATTTTTAAATACTCTTGAAATTATAGAACTGTATAGCGTGCACAGATCTTGAAAACAGTGTGAGCTATGTATGTTACATTTCATCTCTTCTAGTAAATGCTTTTTTATGGTATTAAAACCAGCAAGATTACACAGTTCTTAGACAAATCTGCCAGATTTTTCTTGTTCAGCAGAGCTGTCTAAAATAAAAATTGGCACAGGCCATAATTGATATCAGCACCTTCTTGAAGAGATGCTTCGAAAGCTTCCTTTGCAAAGCTGGGGGACACCGTTTTTTCTTTTTAATCATCACTTCAGTTGATGGCTTAACTGGAGTTTTAATCCTGTGATATTTATATACTAAATTTGTGGTACTCTTGCACCTTAGCTTTTCATGATGCAGTCTACTCTAGACTTGCTGTAGAAAGTCTTCATTTTTGGCAAGAGGTCCGAATGACATATTTGTTCTTTCATTGTGATTCAATTTGCCACACTTCAGTACAGATGTCTAATTTTCCTAAGTGTTTGTAATATAACTTTCTCAAAGTGTAGCTCACTGTGGCTGTGAAGATCTCTCAACATGTCTGCTTTGTGCAGCTACTTGTTCAGAAATAAACAGACACTAAATGGGAAACTATAGGGCTTCTTGAACGCTGTATGGAAAAATACTATTGCAATGAGTATTCACTTGAATTTACTGTATCAAAGCCAATGGTTTGTTTCAGAAGACTTGTATAGACTAATAAATTTTTTTTCCACAGTATTCAACTTTTCTAACTTCTTCCTATTGTAGAATTGTATATTTTCTAGCACATGCAGTTTAAACAAAAATTATTTCTGATTTCTGAAGGACAAGACAAGGATGCTGTGTTGTGGTTTTGGGTTTTGTGTGAGTTTTGTTTTGTTTTGTTTTTTTAAAAATCACTGTAGCGCAATCAGTAACTGAACTGTTGGGCAGTTTCTTGTAAATATAGTGAATGACACTACCTTTTATTACTGCAAGGTATTGTATAAATGTCAGCATAAATGATCTGTGTTTTGCAGCAGGTCTTGGCTGCTTCTCTTAAAATACACTTTATTCTTCACGTTTTGTTTTCTATTCTGTTTTACACTTCCTAGAAAACAATACCAAAATTGAAGACTTAACCGTGCTAGTTGTTTTTACAAAATACTGTATTCGTTGTTAATGTAGCAGGATAATTTGAATATGTAAATGTAATATTAAATATACGTACATACTGCATTAAAATGTTTAGATTTGTATTACTGTTTTATGCAGAATGTGGGCTGAATGAGCATCAGAATGTTAGCATTGAGGTCAAAGGATCTCTGGGTTTTGTAGGCTCGCAGTAGAGGAAACTTGTAGGAGCATTAAAACTCTTTAATTATTTTAGTATTATTTCAGTAATACTGGGCAAGTATCATAATGCTGGCAGATGCCTGTAATTTATTTCCATATCTATTTTCCCCCTACTCTGGGTGCATCCCTGAATTGAGAAGAGAGACAATTTCAGTTTCTGACAAAAGTCCTTTTATCACAACCTGGATTGATCTTTCATTCTGATGTTGCCAGGTGTGACTGCTCTTGTCAAAGGAAGGAGCTGCAAAGTGCCTGAATAGTGCGTATTGTGCTGCAAAAAATGAAGTAATTAGCTCCCTCTTTAATTTTTGGGGACAGAGGAATATTCTGAAACAGCGTATGTAGTGAACTGAGAGCAGTTAGCTTTTTTTTTTTTTTTAGTTTAACTGACTTGCAAGTAGCTCTTCTGTCTTCATCTTGTAAGCCTGTTTGGTTGTGTCCCTGAGGAGTGGCTTTTCCTAGAGTCTTGCCTCCTTTCCTCATTGCTCTGTCAAGAAGCTGTGTACTGGAGGAGCGGGGCTCTGTCCTTCCAGTATTTGTTAGAGCAAATTTAGCATCAGTTACCTTATTCCGTTTTTAAAATCCTTCCTCTTCTCTTCTTTTTTTTTTTAATTTGTTTTCCTTTTTGGGGTGGGGATGGGTATCGAAGCTGCCATATTTCAAATAAGATTGTTTCCATACTTCAGAGTTGTTTTTTTCTTTTTGTAGGTCTGAATTGTATCACCATTCTCTCCAAGTTCACTTGCACTGTTGTAGCTGTAATACAAGCATATCTGAGACTATTGCAAGCTGTATCATAACCTCTGCTTAATACTGATTTAAGCCTGTGTTTGTGGAGTATTGAATATTGCAGTCAGAGAAGTATGCACAAGAGACCCTTTGGTCTACCTCAGTAGGTAGCTGAGGGATAATAGAGATAGCTGTTGTTTGCTCTTCATCAGGTGATGAAAATGTGTCCATTTCCATGGCAGACAGTTTTATAAGAAAATACTAAACCAGAATGAAATAACTGAGAAATCTTACAGCATCATGAGACAGTTAAAACTGAAGTTGTTTCCAGTTCATTTACTCTGTAGTCAATACTAAAAATACTGACTGGCAGTTAAGTACTTATGGCTGGCAGAGGTTTTCTGTAGCTTTTACACTAGCCTGGAAAAATGTGGCACAGCAGTAGCATCTTCTTGAACTTAACTTGAGAATACTACTAAGTCTTGTTAGGGTTTTGTCTTGGATTTCTTCTTCCACTGTTTTAAAAACAGGTGGGACAGCTTCTGGTGGAGAGTTCAAGATGCCTTTTTTTTATTGCTAGTGGGGCTTTTATCCAAAACAGCATCACTTTTCCTGTTCTCCTACTGCAATAATGGAATCAACAGCTGGCTCAAAGTAAGTCTTAAAATGAAAGTGTGAGTTCAGTAAGTCCCCAAAGAATACCAACAACTGTCTCCTCAGCCTTGGCAGATCTTCAGGAAACAGCGGTGTTCTTGCTGCCATCACATACCACAGTGGTAACCACTCCGTACACTTCATTTTTTTAGTTCCTTTGGTTGCCAGTAACCCAATATCTAGTGAACTACAATAGTCCTTCTAATCTTCAGTGTAATAATTCTGTGTTTTGATGCTGAACTGGATGTATTTTTTCAAACACACACAAGATTTGGGCAGCCTGTGTTGTGATCAGCACAAATTACTGCTGTTTAGCTACTGGAGGATTGATACAGAAGTGTCAACTTGTTCAAAGCTCCTGTAGTACATTTCAGTGTCTTGCTGTCCTTCATGAAGGTGTTAAGCAATGTTAGTATGAGCTGGGCCTTTTCCTGTTGCCAGACAAATCATTGCATGGTTTTCAGAGCTAGTTGAGCCTTCAAGGGCAAAATATAAGGGGTCTTTCCTGGTCATTTTCCAACGGCACTAGCTTTGGGGGGGGGGAAAGAGACATGTTCTGCACTAAAACTGTTTCAAGTTTAGTAAGGTTTCCATGCACCTTGCTCTTGAGTACCTGTGGCACCTTAATTAAAAATCGATGAAGGGTTATACAGGCAAAGAACTGTGGAGGTGTGTTTCTAACTGCATGCTTATGTTCTGTGGCTGAGTTTTATGCAAGAGTTAGAAGTTTTGTCTTTGTCCTTGTGCCTGGTCCTTTCTGTTAGAGTTAAGGTGGGTGGTCATGGTGATTAATGACGATTTTTTTTTTCTCATGCTACTAGTTTCTGTAGCATTTATGCACATTTTATGTACAATGATAGCAAAATTCCTTGTGAAGGTCTGGAACTCTTGGGCTCCAGTTCTTTATTTTAGAAGATCCAAAACAACAGAAGGAGGCTTAAAATAAAAAGTGTCAATTTCTGCTTGGAAGGAGGCCTCTCTAGTGTTTTGTGTGTGTGATTTGCTCAATATTTACTTGGTTCTGTGAACAAGTCTTTTGGTTGGATCCTTTTGACAGGAGTGGTTGGTTCCCAGTTCTTAGGGCTTGGTCAGGCTGGACTTTCTGATCTGAGGACTGTGGCTATCAAGATGTTCATGACAGCATAAATCTTGTTTAACATAGCTTGATCTGGAGCTGCTCATTACTACTTTGGATTAGGAGCAAAGCTGTAAACTGGGGTTCCAGGAAGAGCAGTAGCAGCTGCCCAAACAGTGAAGGCAGTTTTAATAATGTACATTATATACACAATATATGTAATTATTATATGCCATATAGTAAACAAACTAATAAACACATTTTTAATAATATACTTAATGCAATACAGAAATATAATGTATATATTAGTTAGAGATGGTGTGATCTCTGAACTTCAGCCTGGTGGCAGGTGCCATCCAGAACAGAAGGATGGATGCCTATGGAAGCAAGAGTTGGGCTTTATGTATATAATGCTTGAGCTTGGTATCAAATCAGAGGTGTAGGTCTAGATTAATTGGGTATTTGGGATGCCAGAAGAGATCATGTCTGCCTGGATGTGATTTGACTTGGATTCTTCTACTGAACACAGAATGGTGGAGGTTGGAAGGGGCCACTTGAGGTAGTTTGGTCCCCCCCCCTTGCTCAAGGAGGCCTACCTAAGAGCTGACTGTGCAGGACCCTGTCAAGATGGCTTCTGAGTATGTCAATGGAGGAAGGACTCCACAACCTCCCTGAGCAACCTGTGCTGGTGCTCAGTCACCCTAACGGTGAAAAAGTGTTCCCTGATCCTCAGCTGGATCCTCCCATGTTCCAGTTTGTGTCTCTTGCTGCCTGTCCTGCCACTGGGCACCACTGAAAAGAGCCTAGCTCTGCCCTCTCTACACCCTCCCTTCTGGTATTTATGTACATTAATAAGATACCCTGTGAGCCTTCTCCAGACCGAACAGTCCCAGCTCCCTCAGTGTTTCCTCATGGGAGAGATGTTCCAGTCCCTTAATCATTTTTGTTGCACTTTTCTGGGCTCAGTATGTCCATGTCTGAGCCCAGAACTGGACACAGCACTCCAGGTGTGGCCTCACCAGTGCTGAAGAGAGGGGAAAGATCACTCCCCTCAACCTGCTGACAATTCTCCTAATGTAGCCCAGGAGACTGTTGGCTGCCTTGTTGAAAGAGCACTTTGCTGCCTTATGTTCACTTGGTGTCTACTAGGATGCCCAGGTCCTTTTCTGCCAAAGCATCTTTCCAGTGGGGTGGTCCACAGCATCTACTGGTGCTAGGAGTGGTTTCTCTCCAGAGGCAGGACTTGGCACTTCCCCTTATTGGCCTCCATGAGGTTCCTGTCAGTCCTTAAAAGGGGAACTCGTCCCTGGGTGGGCTCGAACCACCAGCCTTTCGGTTAACAGCCGAACACGCTAACCAATTGCGCCACAGAGACTGATATACAGTATTTTTCTCCAAAATTCCCAATCACTTTTGTGAATTGCTGATGTACAGCTGTATGTGTTGGCCAGGGACAGACCAGTACTGCTGGCACAGTGCTGCAACAAACCTGACGTGTTGTTATGCTGCAAGAGATGGCAGCGAGGAAGAAATGCTATTACCTCCTGTGGGGTGTGAAAGATAGGATTCTTTTGATTTGAAGAAGTAGCCGTTCCTCCCCACTTACCTCCCTTTGTAGAGGAGAGCTTGGGGTCATGTCATGTCATGCTACGCCATCTGCTTGTACTTCAGAGGTGGGTTAACAGCACTGTTTTTTGAGCCAAGGCTATAGGAAGACCCTACAGTACCCATGTGCTTTTTGTGCTCACGGCCATGGCTGTAAGAAGTCTGAAAACCTGTGTGGCTGTGAATGTTAATGTAATTAAAACAAAACATAGATAAACTTGAGGACATGGATTGAGAGATATCCAAGATGCTGACTGCAGAGTGCTTGCTGTGTCTGGGAACTGCAGGTTGGAGATGATGCCCCTACTGGGCAGGTCTTAATGAACAGTAAAGGTCTTGTGGTGAAAATTGTGGTTTTATTTTTTTAAGTTTTGTAAGTGTACTACCAGAAACCACTGATAACTCCAGTTTGTAGTAGGCATATGTATTTTTCACTGTCCCTCACAAGCCAGGAAAAGATGAAGACTTTGTATGTCCCTTGTGTATTGATGGAAACCAAAGGATATGAAGATATGAAACGTGACAGAAGCCGAGTTCTGTTCTGCTAGTGAACATGTACCTGATTGTCTGTTTTCCTGACAGAAGGAAACTGTCTTTTAATATCTTAGCCTTTTTTTTGTTGTTTGTTTGCTAAAGAAAATAAAATGTTGGCTTGAAAATGGTTGAATTGCTGTTAAAAGTTAGGAAGCTTAATCTCTGCAAGGTCGTACTTTGGAGTGCTGCTGCCAGTGTTGGCAAAGTGCTCCTGGAAATGAAGGAAGATGTGTGGATAATTGTGTTAGGAGAAGTCTGAGCAATTTTCTTTTGGAGGGATAGGAACTGGTAGGTAGAGAAAAAGGTACTTTTAGCCTCTCCTATTAAGGAGTTTGACAGAGAGCAGCTTCCTTTCCCTTCCTCTAGTGTTTTAAGCTGTAGTGTAAGGGAGTTTACATGGTGTGCCTCAAAGCTATGGAGAGCTCTGTTCTTCAGTACACGCTGAGGTCTTGCTCCACTTGCTGGTCCCCTGAGGAGCTAATGGGGATGATGCTTGGCTCCCATCTGGCTTGCATGCCCAGTGTCCTTCTGCTGAGATTCCTGGCACAAGGCAGAGGTACAGATCCAGGTTTCATCCTCAGCCGGAACTGGAGGGTAGCTGGGCTGTAGAGGCCTGGGAGCTGAAATGTCCTCAGAGGTGGCAGAGTTCAAATGGGAGGAGTCCAGAAAGTTGCCAGAGCCAACTTTTTAAAAAACTTCTGTTTTTTAGTGGAGTGTTAATAATGGTCTCTTGGACAGTTTCCAGCATAATCTGTTGCTGGACTATAACAGCATTCAAGATTTGGCAGTTATGTTTGAATTAACAAATTGTTGGTTTTCAAGAGTGCAGGCATTGCTCATACAGACTTTTCTGTAACTTACAGTGTTTGAGTTAGAGCTTTGTAGGAGAGAGAAGACGTAGTGAATTAGCAGTTGGAAGAGACAAGCATTAAGGCACAGAGGTCCTTTTCCAGGCCTGTGAAATGGCTGTGATAATGCTATAATCGCAGCATATTGCTGTTTCTTGCCATGAAGCAGAAGATACAACAGTGCCCTTTTGTGTCAGGTCTGAATGCCTGTGCCTCCCTCTACGTGTGCAGCAATCCAGGTAGAAACGTGGTAATCAGTAAGAGTGTGAAAGGCATCAGAGGATTTAATGGGGCACAGACGTGGCAGTTTGGGTACCAGTGGCAGTCTGGCGGAAGCAACACAGGGCTTGGTAGTTGAATGTGCTCCTCCAGAACACAGACTGCTTCTGGGTCAGCTCTGGTTCGGTGCCACAGGGAGCATATTTGGGAATGGACTCACTCCAGCTATGAGGTTTGACTGATCCTATCAGGGGCAGGAGCATCTTCCTACCATGCCATTTGTTTCTCCTAGGATTGTACATTAGCTGGCAAATGGAATGAAGAAAACTTCTGTTGTTTGACAGGCAAATGTGATGAAATATGATGGGCAGGCTGACAGATTTCTTCGGCTGAGCCAGCAGGTGAGTTTAACCCTGGGAATATCCTGCCTGCTTCTCTTCTCCCTTTATACAGAAAGAAATAGCCATCTTTTGGTCTTGTAATTTACTTTTGCCTAGAGAGGAAAGGCAAACTGTGTGAGCCTGGGGTAATAAAAAAGAGGTGCAATGAAGTTTCCCTTGTAAGTCGCAGATAGCCAGCAGTTACACTTGAAGGCCTGCAGTGCTATGCTTCCTTCCTCTTGCACCCCTCAAAATATGAGTAGCGGTCTTCTGAGCTTCATAGAAATTATTTGCTATGTAGTTCACAGTAGTAGTCAAAAGCAATGAAAGCATTGAAATGCATTTGCCATGCCTTCCAGGTAAGTCCAAATTATTTGACAGTATACAGATTGGAGCATTTTATCATACTAGTTTGAAGTCTAAATAAATCCATAAACAAATGCTGAAGAACCTTTGATTTTTCTGGCAGATGGTGTTTGAGTGTTTTTTCTGTCTCTAAGTAAATCATATAACTGAGATTTGTATCAGTTCCGTTATTTAAATTTGCTTTTTCTCATTTGCTCTGTGCTTATGCTTCTGTCTTGACCCAGGCCTATGCTCGATGGCTCTGCACGCTTTCCTGCCACGTTTAGCCCTGGCAGTACTGTGCAACTGAAACCTTTTAGTGTGCCTGCTGTTAATATGTTAGCGACCACATGTAAGTGATTGACATCAGTGTGGCAATGAAGGTGGTTTCCCTATACTTAGTGGAAAGTTCTAGGGCTAATGTTAATTTAATAATGAAAGGAGATTAGATTGGAAATATTTTAGGGGTGCTCAATCTTATAGGCAGAGCTGGAAATGGGAAGGGAAGAAATTACATGGAACTGAGAGAGCAACATAGCTTAATGGCAGTTTATCCTAAAGAATACAATGATGATCTGTAATTACTTGCAAACACTCGCTGTCTGCATTGCAAGAAGGATTACTTTGATAGACCTAATAGCAACTGCTTTATTTAGTAGTTCCCCTATCTGTTAGCAAGGGGTTACCTACCTTCTGAACATTTTGCACATGCTCAGAAATGTGCTCCGTGTTGAAGACGAGTGCTGTCTTCTCTCCCCAGAAGAGACAGAAATCTGTCCTGCATTGTCAGAGCTATCAGTAATGGCAGAGGGACTGGAAAAGAAGTGCTCTGCAGCTTGACCTACACCTATAGTGAAGGCAGTATCTTCTGTGCCTCTCCTTGCAAGTAAAATTGTACTCTTTATCCCCTTTGATCCCTAGAAATTTTTACAGCATAACCGATAGGGGGAAATGAGGGAGCAAATGGGGTGGGGGAGGGGGAAGGGGGTGGTGAAAAAGAGGCCTATGAATGTTAAAGTCTCCTTTCTGCCTCCCCTATCCCCAGACTGCTTACGTGACAGAATGACATAAGGGGGCATCTTTAGGATTATGCCATTGCTCAAGTGCATGTGTGCGTTGTATGAGAAATGGTACCTAATAATGTGTATAATAACTTTAAAATGTGAGAGTTTGTGTGTGTTCTTGCGCTCTCTAACCTCTTCCTCCCTTGCAGTCTCTCCTGCAGGCTTTGCAGGGGTTAGAGGAGTTTGCCACCAGGCAGAACTCTTTCCTCCAGAGCTTTTATCTTTAAAATGACCTATTGAAAAATTCCCCCTTTGCCCTGTGCTCAACTGGTTTTTATGAAGTCCTGTCAAATCTCCTAATCCTGTCTTGGTTCTTTGGTGCAATTTACTTTATCTCAAAACCCAGCTCTCCAAATTTGCCAAAGAAAACACTGGGCCCTATAGAAAGACCATTTTAAATGAAACTGTTCAGGAAAGTAAAAAGGTAAAAGAAAAAAAAGACAAAAGTCAATGTGTTTTTCATATCTTGCATATATGCTAAAAACCCCCTTTCTTTTTTGCTCTGATTGGAGACCAAGTGGACCCTTGAAACCATGATCTCTTTCCTTACTGAAATTTTATCTCTCTCAGTTAATAAGGGGCCAGGAAAGTACTGGAATTTTTGTTTAAAGACCAGTGTGAATGTTATAATAAGATATTTGCAGGCATAACTAAGAAATGCTGCTAAATGAGACTTTGCAAGCTGATATGAGAGAAAGAAGGTAGTCTATTTGTCTTGGGCATCTGCAGCTATCCATTACCGTAGCATGTGAGCTCTCTGCAGTGCTTTGAGGCAGGCTTGCTGAGTCCCTGCAAGATGAGTCTTAATTTCTGTAGGAGTATTTAGGTGGCAAACTCCCTGAAAGTATTTGGGCAAAAATTATTTGTGTGAAGTCCCACAAGGAGGCAGAAACCTGCAGCTAGAACTAACATGCTTGAGTTCCCACCTTGTGTCCTTGACCCCAACCAGTTATTTCCCCTTAGTACAGTGGTGGCAGCTTCCTCACAATGATCCAGTGATACTCTATATAAGCTTTGTTTAGGCGCACTGGGAGTATGGGTGAATAGGGATTATGGCCTGACCCATGTGCTATTGGTTTGTGTACCCACGGCTGGCTGTTCACTGCTGCTCCAGCTTTGGGTAAGAGAGAATGCTGTTGTGCTTCCTCTGGATCAGAGCAGATCTCAGTTACTGTTTTGCTTTTGGAAAGATTATGTAGGGAGAATGTGCTGGATGTATGTACTCCTTCAATGGACTCATCTGGCTGAATGATCCTGATGTCTCTATAGGGTTTCTTTGCACTTCTTAGCAGTCTGTCAAAGTTTGTATTTTTTTCTTTGACTGTTACTAGCAATGACTTACTTAAAATTATTACAAACTCTTGACAAAAATGGAGTGTC